TCAATAAAATTGGCTTCAGAAAATTGGTAACAATTTATGTGTGCAACATTTGAGTGTGAATTTCCCCACATTATCATAACACTTAGTATTATTAACTGTTTCTTTTTTTAGTCAATTTGTTAGGAGTAAAATATCTCATTAATGTTTAACTTGCATTTCTTAGTTTACAACAAATATATTTCAAATATATTTATTTTTCACTTACATTTCTTTTTTTTGTGAAATGTGTGTTTATGTCCTTCACTCACTAATAGATTGATTTTTAAATTCTTTTATTGTTTTTTACTGGTTTTCGGGGCTCTCTCTATATAAAGATATTAAATTTTTGTGTCTTCCCAATGCCTTTCCCAAGATGTCATTGCCTTTCATTAGAATTGAGGTGAAACATACCTAGTAAAGTGCACAAATCTGAAGTTTACAACTTGGTATGTATATATCACGTAGCAATCACCTAGATCTAGAAAAATAACATTTCAAGCACCTAAGAAGCCTGCTTCACTTTCCGTCCCAGTCACTATTCCCCCTCCCAGGAGTAACCCCTATTTTGACACCATAGATGTCATAGATTGCCTATTCTTGAACTTCATATAAATGGAATCCTATGTGGGAAGAAGTTTCTGGCTTCTTCTATTTATTATTATGTCCATGAGAGTCATCCACATTGATAGAGGTCAAGTAGTTCATTTTTCTGAACCACAATTTATTCAATGGTAAAATGAGGATAATAATAGTACTTATGTGGTAGTCATGGAGATAAATGAGTTAATGTAAGTAATTAAGTTATGCTTCAGTTAAGAAGTTAATGCAAATACCAGAACAGTGTTTGTCCTGTGGTAACTGTTGATACTTAGTACATGGTAGCTGCTAGTATTACACTGCTGGATTAGATCTGTTAATTTTTTATTTAAAGTTTTTATATCAATATTCATAAATGAGTTCAGTCATGCTTTAGCATTTGTGCATGCATGTGCTAGTCTTGTACTGTTTGAATATTGGGTTATGCTAATCAATGGTATCTTCAGCTACCTGCGTGTTCTTCAAGAAGTTGTGGAATGAACCTTTACTGCTCACATCCACGCACCATTCCTACCAAATCTGCTTCTCAGAGACATCTCAGAGCTGCTGTCTTTTCTCCATCACCACCTTCTCTGCTCTAGCCCATGCCTCCATTGTCACCTAATGGGTCTTCCCCTTTCTAAGCATGTGCTCCTTCCCATGGCATGTAGGATCCTCAACAGGGTCTACCTGGTTCTTCACATTATGGTCCTGCCTACCCCTCCGTCCCTGGCTTGTCCCCATCACCCTCATTCACTGGACACACTCCCTGCCCGGTTTCGTGCTCTCTGCGCCTGGCCTGGCCAATCCCTTACACTTTCTGACGGAAATCCTTCCTGATGTGGCAATATCACATAGACCTCCCTATGTAATCACTTGTCTTGCCTTTTTCTTTTCTTTCTTATCACTCACAACATGTGTACTTATACATATATTTGTATGTTTGTCTAATATCTGTCTCTTGGCTCTATGAGGTACTATTTTATTTGCCACTTTATCTGGCATAATGCTTTGCACATAAGAATTGCTCAATAAATAAACTGAATGAAAGGCTCCCAGTCTAGTGGTGGAGACAAATATGTATGCCTAGCAATGAGAAAAAAAGCCAAACAGATGTATGGAACTAGATGCCAGGGGCACAGAGGAGGAAGCAAGAAACCGTGTCCAGGGAACCCTCCCACTGGCAGGCTGCCTGTAGACAGAGTTGCTCATTGACTTACTAACTTCCCCTGGAATGCTCTTCTCTCATAGTTGACATGTTGATGGCACTATGTTACCACAGGGAAGGAATTGGTTCCAAACCAGATTTAAAAGCACAAGTCCCAAGGGACTCAAGGAAGCAAAAATTTGTCTGAGCTCTTGGCTCACACACAGAGCACAATGGCAGCTCTGAAAAGGGCAGAAGTCCTCTGCACCCACAAGCCCTGTTTATTTTCTCCTCTAGCAGCAGGGGTAGCATAGGTCAGCCGAAATGGTGCATCTTGATGAATATTTATTGACCCAAAATGTCACGCTGACAGACATGTGGACAGGCAGACACAGAGGCCTCACTTCTCTGCTCCCAAGGTTGTGACACAGCTGACATTTCCCTGCATGGGTCCTGACTTCTCCAGCTGCTCCTGGGGATGCTGGTGTCTGGCTGATGGGGGTCAACACAGATACTGTGCCCTGTGCTTGCCATGCTGCTGCCCAGGCCTCTACTAAATGGTGGTCTCAAGACACTTCCCATTCTCCCGACCCACACACACTCTCACCTAGCCAGTCTCTTTTCCAATCCTTTCTCTACGGGCTCTTCCATCTCCTTAATTGCATTGCAAGAGTTGCAGGTGGTCAAATTAATTGTGCAATTTACAGAGGGAAGTCCTGGGTGACACCAAGGACTTTATGGTAGAGAAATGGGTTCTGCTTTCCCTATAAAAAGTAATTGTGTTGTCATAAATGTGACTTTTGCTCCCTTATTCTTAATCTTTTCCTCTTCATTTTCTGGGTTTTCTTTCCATCTCTCCCATCATAGCTGACTTCATTTAATCAATTTAATGTTTATTTTAGAAACATTTTATTGTTAGAATCCAAGTAACAGAAAACCATAAAAAGCAAATGGACAGGTTAAAATAATTCTTTTAAGGCTAGCACTCTTGCAAAGCACCTGTCCATGAGAAGAGAATTTTTCTAGTCATCCTCAGAAGCCCTCAGTATGCTCCCGTCTCTTCCCGCCAGAATAACCACTATCCTAACTTATGAAAACTACTTCCCACTTTTCTTTATAGTCTTTACACCCAAGTGTATTAGCAATCAGTCTGCATTATCCCTTCTCCCTGGTAACCACTAATCTACTTTCTCTCTGTGTTTTCCTACTGTGGACATTTTATACAATACATGAACTTTTGTATCTGGCTTCTTTCACTTATATTTTCAAGGTTCATCCATGATGTGGCAGGTATTAATACTTCATTCCTTTTATGGCTGAATAATATTTCGTTGTATGGATATAGAATATTTTATCTACTCAACAGTTGATGAACATTTGGGTTCATTCCACCATTTGGTTATTATGAATAGCGCTTCTATGAATGTTTGTGTACAAATTTTTGTGTACACATACGTTTTCAATTCTCTTGGTGTGTACTCAGTGGAATTTCTGGGTCATATAAGTCTATGTTTCATTTTTAAGGAACGGCCAAATTGTTTTTCAAAGAAGCTGCACCATTTTATATTCCAACTAGCAGTATACAAGGGTTCCAGTTTCTCCAGATTCTTATCAACACGTGTGATGTTCTGTCTTTTTTGTTTTAGCCATCCTAGTGAGTGTGAAGTGGTATCTCACTCTGGTTTTGATTTGCATGTCCCCAATGACATGTTGAACGTGTTTTCATGTATTTATTGACCACTTACATAACTTCTTTGGAAATTTTTTTTAAAATACATGTTCCTAGAGAGGTTTGTTTTTGGTTCTCTAGTTTTCTTCCTTTGCCTCTCCTCTGTCCCTTAGAATATCAGGAGAAAGTCCTAGAGTATTCTGCATACCTGCCCCTTGGTCACATCTTTGCTTAGAGAGGACTGCACAGCAGGAGACTTGGAGTGGGAGTGGGGTGGGGAAAAAGGGTGATGTTTCTGTATGTGTGATTTGAAAAAACTTCCTAAAGGAGAGTGAAAAATACCCAATCTGTCAGTATCTATCTTTCTCTTTGGGTCCTATTTTTGAACAGTTCCTCCTTTGATATCTGTGAGAGGGTGAGGGAAGGAGAGGTCCTAGAAATCGTGTTTGTCTTATAAGAAGGCGAAAACTCAAAAGAATAATCCATGAAAAAGTTGATGAGACATTCATGGCCAGGACTAGCTCCAAGTAACTCTTCCTTTTCTGCTGTACTCCTTCCTCAACTCTTCTTCCTGTTCTGGCACTGACAGGCTTAGAGCAGCTCTCAAGTATCCACTCAGCAAAGAACACAATGGACTCCTTAGTCTTGAGCCATAGGGACTCCATCTTGTTCTCAAGGCAACGTATGTTGTGAACGAGGCTCAGATATTATCTATGTGCTTCACACTGTGCTGGGTGCTGGGGCAAGGTTACAGAAACGATAAGTTAGTTTATTTTTCCCTCATTTACTCAACAAACCTCTTTGAGTACCTACTATGTGCCTGACTCCGTGCTTCCCTGAAGGAGACCAGCTTGGGAAAAAATCATTCAGAACCCATCAACATTGGATGCATTCCAGTGCACGGTCCCTATATGAAGTAGAGCTCCAGAAGAGAAGAGGCAGGTGTCGAGTAATGTCCCCATGAGGTACAGAGTCATGGCGGAGTGGCCAGGGGTACAGCTCCCACCACTGGCCAAAGAAGCTTGAATGAGGAGCCCATGCTCAAGGTGGGAAGAATATCAATACCATGACAGGCAGGTGGAAACAATGTTTTTGAGCTTTTGCATATTTTCCTGAACTTCCCATCTCATACCTTATAGGAGGCTATCTTATTCCATGTGCTGTATTATTTGTGGAGGCAAGAAGTAAATGTGACCCATCATCAACTGCTAGGAGGGTATTACCTCTTTAAATCTAATCTCATTGAGCTCCCTGCACCTTTTATATTGCCATTTCCCTTTTAGTCATTGTCAATTAGCTCTCCATTGCTGGTTTTAGTTTTCTACGTGATAAGCAGAGGTTTTGAATCCATCTTGATTAAAGCAGCGAGGCCCCAACCCCATCCTGCCAGCTTCCTTTGAAGTTCATGCAAACTCCATATTCAGATCAGCTGCCCAGGGCACAGAGAAAGATGAGCTATGAGCTGTGCAACATGAGGACGCCAGGCCAGATGCTTCAAGGCAGGCAGCTTCCTTCTGGGAATAGAATCACCAGAGAGTTCCATCTCTCTGGAACGGTTTAGGTGCGGCGGAGGGGGGAGAAAGCACAAAAATCAAAAAATGAAAAGATGATTTCTCGGGTCTCTTCCAGGCACTGTCCAAATTAGACTAGGATCTATTTGTTAAAGCTGGTGGCAGGCTTTCCAGTGCTCGGGACTGCCCAGAAATCTGGATTCTTCCAAGATGTCCCATTTGGTAAGTTGGAAGATTGGCTCATTATGTAGAGGAAATCAAGAAAGGGAAGCATGGGATATTGCTAAGTATATATCATGGTATTTTTCTCATATTTGTGTAACAATTACTCTGTCTCCAGCCCTCTTACAGACTGCCTCTTCACGTCCTCACATCTCGTGTTCTTCTTTATTCTCCCTCTCTCTGTCTCTTTCTCTCCATCTCTGTCTCTCTCTGTGAAACCACCATCTCCCCCTTATTTGCCTCTTCCTCTTCCGCTTATTTTTTCTCTTTATACATATTTTCAAATGGATGTTTGTGGCTCTGATAGTAATACATTTTAAAAGAAGCCACTTTACTTTGGGGAAGAGTTCTTCATTTGTAGAATATAATGACCCTTAAATTTCCCTCTAATGCTAAAATTCTATGGTTCTCTGAAATACTTACTCTGTTCAAATAATGCATTTCCTTCTGACCCACCTAAAATCTGTGGAAATTGGCTGTATCGTAGCTGACAATCCAAATGATAAATAAATCCCCTTTTCTTTCTCTTTGGGGATCGCTTTATTCCGCATCAGTATGAGAAAGTCAAAACATAATCTCTGACACTCCCATGCCCCCACCTACAATCCCCAAAGCCTGAGAATCATAGTGGTGTGCCTTGGCAGCGGCCGCCTCCCACATTCCATCAGGAGCTCAGGATCTGGGGAAAAGGGATAAAGACAAGGAAAACGTCAGAAAATCCAATTTTTAAAAGGGAGAACTTTTTGTGGTGTTGACCCCCCAAAGATGATTATATGTGGCTCAGATTGCATGCGCTATTTTCTGTGCCATGTATTTTCAAAGTCCTTTCCCAGATAGAATATCTAAGAGAGTCCCCCCCCCTCCAAAAATGATTTTTATTTTCCATATGGTACATGCTAGTAATTCTGGCATTTGACCACATTTATGTAAACATGCAGAGATACCTATAAATTATTGGACTTATCCCAGTTTGAGTTTCCAACTATGTACTACAATCATTACAGCTGTTCTTACTTTAGCCTCAGAAGATATTTCGGTCCATTTATAGGCTGATTAGTCATTTAGACTGTAGACTACATTTATGACATTGTTTGGGGGTGGGGAACATACCAGATATTCACTGGAGACACCAAGAATCCATATTTAAGCCAAGAGTTCTTCAAACTGGTGGGGGCCCCCTAACCTGAGCTCTCACACCCTGAGTAACGATTGACTGTCAGTCACCCAGGGCCACCCCACACCTTGAGATGACTTCGGGAGAACCCGGGCTCCCCCCGCCCAACCCCTCTCCGCAGAGTATTGAGATAGAAGAGAGCGATTGGCCAGGAGAACTGAGAGCCTCACTTGTAAAAATCTGGGCCCTACCCAACAGATCTGGGACTTGTCGGGGCGGGGATGGGGGAGGGGGCTTAATTATAGCGTTGTAGGCAGCTCGGCAGTGAAGACTAAACTGAGCTTTCTCACTCAACTCCGCCCTGCTCATCCCTACCACAGGTCTCGCCACCTCGCCTAGCCCAGGCTGAGCTCAGATCCGGGGAAGGTCCTATGGATTTTCTATGGAAATCTTGGGCTCGCGCCTTGTGCCAACACCAGGGCCAGCCTGCTGGGGGCGCCCTAAAGTAGCCGCTGCTCCCACTGCTCTTTTCCTCGAGGACTTGGAGGAGTCAGTCCACCGTATTGTTTTTAAATAGCCATGCAGTTTATTCACAAAGCATCTTAAGTTTCAGGCACTTCTCACCACCCCTCCCCCAAAGCCCTTTTCTATGTTCTATTTAATGTTTTCTCTGAGCCTCACAATCACGAAGAAAGGTAGTCTGTATAGAGAGGTGAAAAATGATTTCCCTAAGTTTGGGTGGGACTCTGTGGTGGAGACTAGAATAGGAGCCTAGCATCCTGATTCCTAGACCTGTGCTCTTCCTACAAAAGCTCTTTACAGTGAGGATAATAATAAACAGAAAACACTTATGCTATCCCTTTTATTTTCTTTTCCTCTTTAAAACTCTGACATGTTTTATTTATGTCAGTTCTCCTGAGATCAGTTTTCATGAAACCCTAGTACTTTACTGGCTGTCCTCCATGCTCAAACAATGTTGGGTAGGATCTCCAGTCTTGTTCTGATTTATTCAGCAGATGGGGAGTTATTATCGATATTTCTTCAGAGTTCGAGGGGTATTTTTGGATGATAAAGTTCGTTTCCATTTATCATCATTTTATCCCTGGTGCTGGCTTTGGGGGCTCTGATTTTTCCGTGCGAATGTGAACCATGAGGTTGCATTCAACCTGGTCTGTTTTCAAAGACTGAAGAATAGAGAGCAGGATGCAGAAAATATATGGTGGCCTTCGGCAACTTGGTGGAAATTTTGACTTAAGGGAAAGCCAGTGTTGACTCGAATCTTTGTTCTTATCTCTTTAAAGCTGGAAGAGGTCATAGAAAACATTTAGTAATTCTGGTGCAAGGCTTTTGTTCTCCCCAGGGCAGAAAATGAGACTCAGAGAAGTCGGGAGGCTTGTCTGAGATCACACAGCTCCCGGAAGGCGGTGCTGAGCTAACGTCAGGCCTGAGGTGTTGTCTGTGAAACCACAGGGCCTCTCAAAGACAAGGGCTGGCTACACCCAGAGAATGCTGAGGGACATTCTATGTGATTAATTCTATTCAGCCTTACAAGCACTCACTGAGGCCACCGCAGGGAAGACCAGCAGGTATTGTGTGGAACCCTACAGCCTCAGAAGGGCTGACCGGGCAAGTGGCTTCATCCTCTCTTCTGTTCTCCTCCGAGGGGCCTGAGATCAGGCCTCTTGGGCTGTTGTTATGTCTGCATTGAAAAATCCACCCTGAGGACTAAAATCTTTAATTTGGATGGATGGGGCCCACACTTTTTCTTTCCTGCGGTAACGAAAAAGAGGGCCATGGAGAGGCTTTCCTACCCAAACCACAGGGAGATTAAAGGGCTAGGGAGGAGGGACGCATTTTGAGTGTGGAAGTCGCAGGATTCTTGGGCCCACAAAGGAGTCTTCTCATTATTAATGGTGGTTCTGTAACAGCTGTGGCTTGGAAATGGGAAAGACAGGAGGCAGGAGAGACCCATGTGTGGGTTTGTGTGGCTCTGACCGCAGGCGGGTGCTTTGGACACGGTGTCCCACTGACACTCGATGCCCACGTGGGACAAGACTCCCTCCTGGCCACCTTCTTCCTCCCACAGAGGCAGGAAGCCCAGTGGGGGAGGAGCTGAAATTGCTAAGAATAGCCATGGTCTTTGGGACTTGCTCTTTTCATGGAATCAATGGAATTAGAAATGAGATATTAGCTCTAATCAGTCACATATGTTGGGTTCTCAGCCCCTAGGAAAAGAATTTCGGACTGCAGCTCCTCACCCAGTGGGGAAAATGCATCTACACCTGTGGATGTGGCGGGGCCCCTCTTCTGTCCTCTGGAGGGTCCAGGACAAAAATACATGCTGTACTAAGTATATGCTGTCAGTCTGTCATCTGGTCTGATATGAAGTGGCCAGACTTCTGACTAAGCATCCCTTATGTGGCTTTTCAACAAGTGTAGAAGAATTTCAAGGCACACAGATCCACACGGAGCCAAGAAAGAGAATTCCACCCTCTCCTTTGTCTTTTTCGCTTATGTTTCTGAGATGTGGGGCGTTTGGTAAATTAGGCACACCGTGAAAGGATGGGTTTTTGGTTTGGTTTGGTTTGACTTTTCGTTTTACAAAAATTTAAAATTACGAGAAGAGTCAAATGAGTCCCTGTGTGCCCATGATATAGATGTGGGTCATGGAGATGGTCAGCAGGTTTTCACTGAGCCTGTGAGTTCCTCAGTAAGGCCCCTGACTACCTGCATCAGAATCACACCCAGACCTCTCCATTCGGGACCTCCAGGCAGGCTGGGACACTGCCCTGTGTGCCGTCCCCAGTACTGCTGATTGTCAATCTCCATGAACCTTCCTGTGCACCTCACAGTAGCTCAGGGATCTGTTCATTTGTCCCCGAGTTCTTTGCATCACCGAGTTCCAGGGAGTGGTCAGAATATTCTGCTCACTATACCATCTCTTTGCATTTCACCTTTGAAAAACAAACACAAACAGGGAGAACCAGCCCCTTTTCTTGTTCTGACATAACACTCTTGCACGTGGCTACTAAGCGTGACCCTTGTTCAAACTTAACAGACCTACAAGTGAAAATAAAACCTCATGTTAAGGGTCTTGCCAACTTTTTAATACTTACATTTAATTTAGGATTCACATTCAAAGTTGGTCGTATAGCCCTGGGCCTGTGCTTAACTTAAAAATGCCCTCTGTGGATTATCTGTGTATGGGTGATGGGTGTGAATACACACACACACACACAAAACACTAGTAGAACTTTTAAATGTCGACATTTAAGTATTGCAAAGAGAGCAAAAAGCAGAGTTAATTTTCTGGAGAGATTCTGAGTCCAAGGTCACATCTATAGTTGTCTATAGTTGGGAGTCTGCATTATGTGATTTAAAACAAAAGGAGTTGAGGAAGCCGGGGTGGGTGAAGTGGAAAAGGACAGGGTTGGGTGGTAAGGGAACAAAAGGCTGATTAGGTGATAGCGCGTTCAAATCCTAGTGAGATAGCAGAGTCGTGGCCGAGTAAGAGATTGCAGCCCTCCCCAGAGGCTCCCCCATATCAGTACACGCTTCTCATATGTATCTGCATTCCTCACCACACCGTGCTCAGGACCACGTAGAGCAGGTGCCTGGGGTTTAAATGAATGCCGCTCCTCAGCTTCGTCTGAAGGGGCCACTGGCACAGTTTCAAGGCTTAGAGAGGCCCAGAAGACCTGCAGTCCTGCCCCGGGGGGCCCACATTTGGCTCTCTCTCTGGGCTTCCATTGCTACGGCCAACATGTTTCACAACTTCAGGAACCACATTCACTTACATAAAATAGGGCGTGAATGGAGCCCCCAGAGCTGGGTACCAGGTAGCCCCGGACACCTTCTGGAAGGACCACAGTGGCCACTATGAGCACAACCTCTGGGTTAGCAGATTAGATTCGCGTATTTCACATTTGCCCTCCTATTGTTCACTCACTCACAAATGCTCCTCTTCTGCAGGTTTATGCTACTTTCCCAGGGATGCCTGGGGGCCGTGTCCCACTCAGGAACTGACCCTCCTCTTTTGCCCCAGTACCTTTTATCCTCAGCCTTCCTATCCCTGTTCTTTTTTTTTTTTTTTAAGTTTTTTTTTTTTTTTTTTTTTTGACAGAGAGAGAGATAGCGAGAGCAGGAGCACAAGCGGGGGAGTGGGAGAGGGAGAAGCAGGCTTCCCGCGGAGCAGGGAGCCCGATGCGGGGCTCGATCCCAGGACCCTGGGATCATGACCTGAGCCGAAGGCAGACGCCTAACGACTGAGCCACCCAGGCGCCCCATCCCTGTTCTTTAAATATCATAAATGCTGAGAGTATCTGGGATGCTTACAGTTGAAGACATTCACTTTATTGAGGTTCTAACAGAGGCCTTAAGAGTTATGGCTCTTGGAGAAAGGAAGGATAAATATGATATTTTGGGCACACACTTTTTCAATTATGGGCAGCTCAAACCCAGTATTGCTCCTCATCCATCTCAATCTGAAGGCTGGTGGGGAGGCTGCTCCTAAACATCTTTGCACACTTAATCTCAAGCCCCACTCATGCAGCTTCTAAATTTTTTAAGATTAATCAAATCTAAGCCTTGCAAAGTGCACACTCTGATTTATATGAGTTTTGGCAAACAAGCACACCGGATAAAAAGCTTCTTAGTTGGAAATGACAGCGTTAGGTGAACAAGGGCTAGAAAACCATATAAAGGCACCCTGTTTAATGAGCCGGTGGCAGCTCCCGAAACTCAGTTAAAGGACTCTAAACGTGCTGTTGTATTAAGGTGGGGGCCTCTAGGTAACATGGCAGAAATTGGTGTGTTCTCCTATCCTTAGATTTATTTTTGAGGTCTAGTTCCCATGAAGGAAAACCCTAGGAAGTCCAGTCTCAGAGGAAAGGACACAAAGCCATGCAAGGATCTTGTTGTAGGAGCTGGAGGTGAAGGGTGGGAAGCTGGAATCAACTCTGGCTCAAGAACTCATCTTCTAGAAAGATGCCCAATTGTCCAGTGTCCAGGGAGCAAAGGGCTCAGTGAATTTGAACTTGACTGAAGCCATTGCTATCCAAGAAGGTCTGACATAATGAATCAATATGGCAGCAGTCATATAGGATAGTAACATGTAGTTAGGACTGGCATTAGTTCATGGTTCTGAGTTACTGTTTCATTAGAAGCATTTCCCAGCAGTTAACTTTAATCTCAGCCTTAATCTTTAGCAAACTTAAGCTTGTCCCATAAGAGCACTGAAAGTTGTGAAGCCTTTTGGCTGACTGTGCCCTGTTCCCCTTCCAGGGGAGGGGCACTGACAGAGTCAGGCTGGCTGGCTGAGTGGGCTGGGCTCAGGGTAGAGTGCCAGCCCACGAGGGAAGTATTCAGTAGGAAACAGGCAGAAGCCCAGCCACACAAATTGGACTGTCCGATGGGAGATGGGGGTTACTTATGGCTTGTCAGTCTCAGCACCAAGTACACCAGATATGGGGCAGATGTGTAGGAACAAGATAGGTTCCAGACCTAGCAGACAAAGGTCTGAGGCCTCCAAAAAACATTGGTCTTTGTCAGGCTAGCCTGAAAATTGGGTGGGGCTGGGCCCTGCAGCTACCTAAGGAGGAAGAATTCTTCCTAAGACATATATCAAAGGAGGGGCGCCTGGGTGGCTCAGTTGTTAAGCGTCTGCCTTCCATTCAGGTCATGATCCCAGAGTCCTGGGATGGAGCCCCGCATCGGGCTCCCTGCTCCTCGGGAAGCCTGCTTCTCCCTCTCCCACTCTCCCTGCTTGTGTTTCCTCTCTCGTTGTGTCTCTCTCTGTCAAATAAACAAAATCTTAAAAAAAAAAAAAAAAGACATATATCAAAGGAGCAGTACCCTCTATGAAAACAGAAGAGAGTTTAAAACTAGCACCTAGAAAATAATGATTTAAAATAAACATTTGACGGGTGCCTGGGTAGCTTAGTCAGTTAAGCATCTGCCTTCAGCTTAGGTCATGATATTAGGTTCCTGGAATGGAGCTCCGTGTCGGGCTCCCTGCTCAGAGGGGAGTCTGCTTCTCCCCTCCTGCTCCCCCTGCTTGTGCTCTCTCTCTCTCTCAAATAAATAAAATCTTTTTAAAAAATAAATTAAATTAAATAAACATTTGAATAATACCGGTTATGTTTTATTCTATATTTTCTTTTAGGGTATTTTGTAATAACATGCCTATATTCTTTCAACCCGTCACATGTACTGAAACTTTTCCTGGAGAAACAGTGAAATATCAGAGTAACACGTGCACCTCCTTACACAGTGAGCAGCAAGAATTCAGAGCACAGTTTAACCTTGCTTGCCAGGTGTCTGGCTTGCCTTTGCGGAGTTCATGCTCTCTGAGAAATAAGGTTAACATGCAGGAATGATAAGGACCCATATAAGCCAGATGGTGAATGCCATAGGGATTCAAAGAAATGACTGATACATGAGGTTCACAGTCATGCGGAAAAGACATACAGAACCCAAGAACAGGTAGGATACAATTTCAGGGAAAGAGTGAGGGGAGCAACCGTTAAGCACAGAGCGCTCATGGGCTGGTGCATGGCTACAGCACCCTAATGAAGTACACAAGTATTCTCCCCCTTTATAGGCGAGGAAACTGGGCACAGCCAGTTCCTGCTTTAACCCGACCATCCCTGCCTCTTGTAAGCTACCAATAGGGTAACAACAGTGCGATACAATGGCAAGATCCAGCTCATATATGCTTCGTTTAGTTTTGCTTTTAATTATTAGCGTCACTTGTTCTTAGGTACCTTGAGCCATCCTGGAGGAAATATTTGAAACTGGTACCCGCTAGGAGCATCGCTTCTTCCCTGGCATGTCTGGGGATTTGGGCTGGTGGGCTATAGTGCTGCCCGCCGTCCTGCACTGGACTACGCATTCCAGAATTGGAATTGGCTCCACATCCAGGGGCTGTTTCCCTGAGCACCTTCCATGAGGAATGGCTTCAAAGTACCTCTGCTCTTTGACCAGAAGACACGAAACTTCAATTACCATACTTTACAATTCTCTTCACGTAAGTAGATCAGATTTTTAAAGAAGTTCAGTTTCTTGAATTTTATTGTGTGTTTACTATGAGCAAGGTATGGTAGGTGCTGTAAGGGAGACAGTGATGAGTAAGAAAAGGACTTAGGGGTAAGCAGAGTACATGGAAATAACTGTAACACGAAGCCAAACAAACAGCAGAGTGTCAGACCTGGAAGAACTGGGTTTGATTCTGGTCTTCACTACTACAGGACTTACAGGCTGTGTGATTTTAGGTTAAGTCACTTAACTGCATGGAACTCAATTTACTAATTTGTTCAATAGGAAGAATAAGACTTTGTCTTACAGGATCGTCATGATGATTAAATTCAGTATTTTGATAGGCACATTAAAGATACAATATTAATTATTACACAAATTTTAATACACATATTAATTATTAATAATATTAATTATAATTACCATACAAATATTAATTATTATATTCCAAATATATCAGTGTTGCAATAGAAATGGTAGGTGTTAAAAGGAGAATGGGAGCTATCTAGTGGGATATCTGTTTTGGTTGTGAATGATGCACCTTCGTGTTTAGTCCTCTTCTAATAATTTCTCACTTTCTCTTTTAGGATATGGAGACTCCATGGTTGAGCATCACCTTCATACGGAGAATTAAAAATAAGCCCTCGGAAGGAAAGGCAGGGAACGGAGGTGAAGAGAGTGGAACGTTGCCATTGGTCAAATGATGGGCTGTGTTTATTTTCAATCACAAAACTATACATCCATGCTCACCCAGTGTCTGTCACATCCAGGTACTAGTCTGGGAATGTTCTAAATAAGGCAAAGCTTGGAAGTATACCTGCTCTTTGGGGAAAACGAACCCTCAAGTATTATTCCTAATTATTTTCGTCCTTTAGTCATGTCTGGTCTTCCAAATATGGGATCAGACATTTACCCACGTCTCGCTCTCCTCTTATAAACATTCATTCATTATTTTTCTTCCAGTAAATATTAATTGAGAGCTAACTATGTGCTAAGCACCATACTGAGCACTAAGCCTTCCGACATGGGTAAGACCCAGGCCCTGACCTTACACCACTGATAGTGCCAGGGAAGATGCAAATGGGCCACTTCAAAATGATGTGTTAGGTATTCCCCGAAATGAAATAAGGTGCTCTGGAGCCTTGCTTCCTCTGAGAAAGCTTTCCTTCCTTGCCCTTAGGCTGCATTACGCACTCTTTCTAAAGCAAGTCTCCAGAGCACCTTATTTTCTCAATTAAGATTTATTGAAAGAAAAAATGAATGAATAAGTGTTTCTAAGAGACAAGGTGGTTATAAGTGAGCCTGCTCATATAGAAACCTGATTGTGAATGGTCTTACAGGTTTTGTACCATTTGGGGTTATTCAAAAACCAACTGATGTGTGAGCCCATTTTGTAAGAGCAGTTTTATTTTTTTATTTTTTTAAAGATTTTATTTATTTATTTGACAGAGAGAGACACAACAAGAGAGGGAACACAAGCAGGGGGAGTGGGAGAGGGAGAAGCAGGCTCCCCACTGAGGAGGGAGCCCGATGCGGGACTTGATCCCAGGACCCTGGGATCATGATCTGAGCCGAAGGCAGACACTTAATGACTGAGCTACCCAGGCACCCCAGTAAGAGCAGTTTTAAAAATGAAACACCATAATCTTGGATTTGTCAGTGAACGGGACAACACAGACCTAGCGGAAATTTCTTTTCAGGCATTCAGGACAAGCAGAAGATTTGTCATTATAATGCCTACTGTTGATCAGATCCCTTTGATGTTTATTTTATTTATTCTTTACAATAACCCCATAGACCGGTCTTATCATCATCTCTACCTTATAGCTGGTAGGGCCCAGCCGTAGAGTGGCATTTATACGCTCCTTTAGGGTAACAACTTGTTAAATCAGATAATGAAAGGAAATAAGGAAGCAGTACTTGGCAACCGAAAGTTGAGTTTTTGTCAAATTAAGTTCTAAAAGGTCCCAATTTTTGCTTCATTCAGATATCCAGGCTTCTATTGGATTCTGCTTCATACTTACATACATACAAAATAAAGAGGGCTCTAATCCTAGTATCCAGGTGGATGTGGATAGTGTAATATGAAAAGTTAGTACAAACATCATAAAACATTAAGTGGAATGTTTATAGTGGGTTTAGAGGTTGATCATTCAGTTTAAGGAGACTGGTTGGAATTTGGAACTGTTAAAATGACCAGAAGATATTCTCCCAGAACCAATTATTCTGTGGCTATCCATTTTTGGAACTTTCAACAAATTCAACTTGATAAACATTTATCACACACCTACTATGTGGCAGGTGCTGTGACAGATACTGAAGATGCAAAGATGAAAAAGCATCTGTTTCTGCTGTGTCGGAAGTTGCTCTGATCCGAAGCCGGGGGGCGGACTCTAAGGAAGCCCAGAGGACGGAAGGATGATGCGGCTTGGTGCGGGGCTCACAGGAAGGCTTTCTCCTTGAGGCAACCATTGAACCGGACCTTGAAAGTTTCATAGGCCTTCGCTGGACTACAAGAAAGGACACTCTTTTTTATTTTCTTTTTTTAAGATTTTATTTATTTGAGAGCGAGAAAGGGCACGAGCCGGGCGGGGGCGGGGAGGGACAGAGGCAGAGGGAAAAGCAGGCTCCCCACAGGAGCCTGATGTGGGGCTCGATCCCAGGACCCTGGGATCATGACCTGAGCTGAAGGCAGACGCTTAACCAACTGAGCCACCCAGGAGCCCCTCAACTCTATTTTTAACTTGATTTTTAAAAAAATCTTGCTCTATATGTTATTAGCCTTTTAAATGTGAACCTATGCTTATGAAGTAAATGTTTAGCTTTGTTGCTTAATAAAAGTTCTACTTTTGGGCGCCTGGGTGGCTCAGGTGGTTAAGCGACTGCCTTCGGCTCAGGTCATGATCCTGGAGTCCCTGGATCGAGTCCCACATCGGGCTCCCTGCTCAGCAGGGAGTCTGCTTCTCCCTCTGACCCTCCCCCCTCTCATGTACTCTCTCTCATTCTCGCTCTCTCAAATGAATAAATAAATCTTTTAAAAAAATGATAAAAGTTCTACTTTTGTGGGGGAAAAAAGGCCCATTTTAGACAAGTGTGCTGCATTCTCTCTGACTGAGTTGCTCAGGCTGAAGGGGATTCAGAGGGGTCTGGATACTGAGGCTGCAACCAGGTGGCACCTTTATTAGTACCTTGGCAGAAAGGGAGCATCACTTTGGGAATACCGACTCATATTCATAGAACAATGGCAGACATTATCGTACCAAAATGGAAAATCCAATGCACCAACTTTATTTCCAGGGTGAATTTTGAGTATATGGAACCCTTGCCAGCTGTGGAGAGATGGAAAGTGCATTGAACTTGGAGGCAGAAGATTGGGTTGCCTGTGTCTGCCACTTACTTGCTGTGTGATCTTGTGCAAACCATTTAACTTCTCTGAGCTCAGTGTTCTCATTGATAAAATCATGAGGACCAGAGAAAGGTCCGTGGAAAGTCTTCATTTTCTAGGAGCGTGGTGTCAGATCTTCCAGAGAGGTTGTGGATAGGATTAATAAAATCCCGTATTTGACTGTGACTAGCCCAGGGCCTGGAGCAAAGTGGCCACTCCAAAGCTGCTTGCTCCTTTCTTCATTGTTACTCTGAGCAGAGCATTGACAAGCCTGCAGTACATGGTGTCCTGCCAATCAGGAACAACATGACCAATGGCCTCTACCCTAGCAGAGCCACCATTTTCCTGCTGCTTGGTAGGTAGAAGAAGGTATGAAGCATTATGCTAGCTGAGCTGGTGGAATCCATGTCTCTCAGGACTTTAAGTGCTTGGGGAGCAACTGAGTCTTTTCCTTATTTGGGTATCAAAATAAAATCTCCAGGGGTGCCCAGGTGGCTCAGTCGGTTTAGCTTCTGCCTTCAGCTCAGGTCGTGATCCCAGGCTCCTGGGATGGAGTCCCTCGTGGGGCTCCCTGCTCAGCGGGGAGTCTGCTTTTCCCTCTGCCTGGTGCTCCCCCTGCCCGTGCTCTCTCTCTCTCTCTGCTTTCTCTTTCTCTCGTTATCAAATAGATAAAATCTTTTAAAAAAATAAATAAAATCTCCAAAGTAGAGAGAGATCTAGTGTAAAACTGGAATGCTCAAATGGTTCACACGATCCGTGTCTGAGAATCAGAAAAGTCAGTTTCATCGGACATCCTTAGAAAAGGAGGCACGAGCAAGGGTGGGCCTGGTTTGGAGGGTGTCAACACGCAGATGGGGTGTGGAGGAGGGGGACAGGATGTAGAGAAGGATGCCCTGACATTCCTTCAATGGCTGCAAATTGCTTTGTAAGGGAGGATTCCCCACTCGGGATCAATAAGCAATTCTCAGCTGATATTCTTTAAAGCACATAAAAGTGTGGAAGCAATCATACGGCGGGGGAGTTTCCATGGGGCCCTAGGCAGGCTGAGGTAGAAGAATGAAAGCTGCCTTAGAGGGCTCAGGAGAGGGAGGAAGGGAAACAGCTGTGAGCATCTCTGGAAGGAGGAAACCTGTAATATTCACACACAGGGTGAGAAAGAAAGAAAAGGAACAAGGACATAGGGCAGCCGGAAACAGCACATTTCCACTGATTTCACTTTTGAAAGCATAATGGTCTTGTTAAAAAAAAAAAAAAATTGGGGAACTGGTGCACTGGAGGGTTTGTTTTTAACCAATGAGTCAACAAGTTGGGCTTTAACTTTAAAACTGTAATTCCACCTTTACTGTTTGTTGGAGGTCTCATCAACATGGGTTTGAGAGGGAGCACTCAAAGTTTAACACTGTATCCACTGAATTTAACTTGTCCGAAGATGGAAATATGGTCTACACCGCTGCTCGTTTTGTGTGGGCTGGAGGACTGCTGGTCTATAACCTGGTCTATAAACATCTATAACCAAGATGATAGGAACACATACTGGGAAATTAAAAGAAATGTGGACAAGAGGGAGGCAGATAACACCTGTTGTGCTGAGCATCCACTAAATCTTTCTGAGTCTTTGCCTCATCTGATAAATGAGGACCCATCTCGCCGGCTGTTGTGAAAATAAGATTCGGTAACTGTAGGAGTAGATACTGAGCAGATAAATGGTGCACTTTCTCTGGCAGACCTGCAGGTACCCTCGTGTTTTCTGAAGAAACATTTGTTACCTGCCATGTAGAAATGTGCTTTGTGTCATCTAAGGCAAATGGGGCGCTGGTGATTGAATCTAAGTTTTCTCTTCTTCCAACCTCAAGGGGCAAAAGTTAAGTTAGGAGAATGGATATTTCGTGTTTCTTGCTGTGTCACAGAGTCGTTGGTTGGGGGGAGTTTGCGGGGGGCGGGAAGAATGATGGCTATTTTGATGTCTCTATTAATCATACACTAGACCCTTGCCAGGCAGCCGAAACAACTACATTTTCTGGCGTCATTTATATACTGCTGGCCTATGGAGAGGGAGCTTTGGAGAGGGTCCCAAAGGAAAGCCAACAGCAAGTGTGCACTTCTCTCAGATACCATGCTGGGCACTTTCAAATGCAATATTCCTTCAGCTCCTCGACCTACCCTAGGAAGGAATATGTCCACTTTAGGAAAGGAAAGACTGCAACTGAGAGAGATTGACGTGCCCGCACACTTACTACAATCAGTGTTTGGACTCTGACTACAGAGAAGCATTGAGCCTGAGATCCTTGTGAGCTGGGGGCAGGGGAGGGACAGAAGAGTAAGCACCGAGTCTGTCAATACTGATTCAAAATCCTCATTGCTTCTGCTACGGACATCAGTCGAGTGTGGTCAGAAAACCTCTGGAAGTTTCTGGCACACACGGAACCTTTCCAGCCACCCCTAGCACATCTCCGGGGCTCTGGCTCGTGAGGGAAGCCACGGGCCCTCTGCGTGCCAGGGCAGACAGCTCTGGGTCAAAGGGATGATTTCAGAATTAACTTCATCTCATGGATGAGTTTCATTTCATTGACAAATAGTCCTGCCCGGGTTGGCCATGAGTGCGTCTCTAGGGAAGGACCTTGTCGTGGGACGATTTAGAGGGATCTTATTACTCTGTGTAATATTGCTCTTTTTACTGTGATAAAAGAAACTGCCACTTCTTAAATACCCACTGGCTATGGACTGCATTTTACACATATCATCTCATTTAATTCACACAATGACTCTATGTAGTAAATATATTCACTCTTATTTTATAGACAAAAAGGCTCAAGAAGGCTAAGAGGCTTGCCAAAGGTCACAGTAAGTGGCAGAGCGGCAATGCACAATGCCATCTTTTTAATGCTCAAGAGTGTGGTCTTTCCACCTCACTGTAATGTGACTCCCTATAATAATGAATAATAAATAAAGAAATAATAATAAATAAATAAAATAATAAATAATGACTCCCTACGTTGAAATGGGGCCTTGTGCCTGGGCTCTGGGAGTTCAAGTCTGCTGTTCTCCTAAACAAAGTTCTTCCTCTGTGAAGTTAACTTGCATTTTCTAAAACTCTATATCGAGATAAATTGGAGGATCAGTGATACCAAAGATGATCTCTGTTCCTTCCAAGGCATCTTCCAAGTTTCCAGTCCTGAAACCCAGGGCACTCCTGGGAATTTAGCTTTGAATCGTCACTCACCCTCCATCCTGGATGCTACCAAGGTGTTGATTCTTTCTTCCTAATGTTTCCTGTAGTCACTGCTGGTCATCGCACCCCATGTCACCACTCTCTTGTGTTATTTCAGTAGTTTCCAAACTGCTCCTTGCATGTAGGCTCTTCCCGTGCTCAGTCCTGCTGCTAGATCGACCTTCCCCAAAACATCATTTTGTAAATGTCAATCCTCATTCAGGAGTATTCCACTTATGTGACGCAGCCTTTTAGGCCGATGTTGGAGAAGAACAGTTAACGACATGATATGGAAAAAATGTCCACAGTATGTTGTTAAATGAAAAAAATGCTTACAAAATATAGCAAATGTTAATACAGGTGATCTGTGCGTGGTAGAATTATGGATAAGTTTATCATCTTTTTGCTTATCTAGAGTTCTTAACTTTTTTGCAATAAATGGTAGTCTCGTAACAAGACAAAAAAGTAGAAGCTACTGTAAAAAATCAGAAAAAAAGCACCCAGCGTAGTATAAAATAGAACAATGATAAAATTGCATTTTTTACCATTCAGTGGGCAAAAAGAGTTGAAATTATACTAGCCAGTGTCTGCCAGGGTGAAGACAGGGGCATCCTTGCACACTGTGGGTGAGAATGGAAACTGGTACAAACTTAGTTGGAGACGATGTGTGCAGGATTCATCACCGTGAAAAGTTTGCATCAGCTTGAACCGAAGAATTCAATTTTAGGAATCCATGGTGTAAAGAGATGGTTCTCAAAGTCTAATCTAATCTGACTGCATCAGCTTCACATTAGAACTTGTTAAAAATGCCAATTCTCAGGCCCTACACCTGAACTACTAAATCAAACTCTGGGAGCAGGGTCCGGAAATCCGTGTTTTAACCAGGGGACTCTGAAGCACATTTAGTGTTTGAGAGTCACTGCTCTAGAAATACCATCAGGTAGTACCTCTGTGTGAACAAGAGCTGCAATGATACACGTTACTACCTTATGTGTAATGTCATAAAGTTATAAACAATCTATGTACTCAAGAGAGAAATTGCCAAATAGGTCAAACCAACCTATCCTGTGAAATACTATGTACAGTTAAAGAGAAAAAGCATTAGCAGGGAAAAATTGTTAGGACACGAGGTTTAGTAAAAATAAAAAGAACAATTTGCAAAAATACCTGTAATATTATTAACCATGGTCAAAGCATACTTGAAATACTCATGTTTTAACTTTTCAAACAATAAATTCATTTATTACCTATGTAAAAAAAAAAAAAAAAAACCCTCCCATCAGCTCCTATAAGATAGAACTCAGACTTCTTAGCGTGGCAATAGGGATCCTTCAGGCTCTACTTCAAACCTGATTCTCCAACTCAGTGCCCCCCACCTCGTATTTCTGTAAGGAAACTGTTTCTATCAAATGATTCTGAGAATGGCTTAATACTTAAGTCTTAATTCTACTTTGTAGTTGAGGAAACTGAGAAATTTCTTTTTGGCAAAAATAATTCCCAAAAGTTGAGTGACTGTTTGCCAGCCCCCGGTCACACGGGCAGCGCTGGAACCCGGGTCAGTTTGCTGTGTTCCGAGTGCTCGGTCTGCTCCCTAGGCTGGAAACCACAAATATGTTACATTACATGGCAAATGAAACTTTGCAGATGGAATTAACATCACTTGAATTTAGGGGGATTATCCCAGATTCCCTGAGTGGGCCCAATGAAATGACATGGGCCCTTAAAAGTGAAAGAGGAAGAAGGGGAGTATTTTAAAAAAAAAAAATGAGGCCAGGAAAAGAGATACTGCAGAGATTCAAATCACGAGGAGGACTCAGCCTGCCATGACTGGTTTTGAAGAGGGAATAAGGAAGCCATGAGCCACGGTAGGCAAGTGGCCTCTCAGCTGACAGCGAAGGAAGAAGGACCTTAATCCTACACCCACGAGGAACTGAATTCTGCCAACAACTGGAAGGAACAAGGAAGCAGATTCCCCCCTAGAGACTCCAGAAAGCAATGCGGCCCTGCAGACACCTTGACTTGAGCTGGGGGAGGTCCATACCAGACTTCTACAGAAATGCGAGGTAATGAGTGTGTGTCGTTTTGTTTTAAGCCGCTACATTTGTGGTAATTTGTTATGGTGGCATATTAGTTTGCTAGCACCGCTGTGACAAAGTACCACAAACTGGGTGGCCGGAACATCAGCAATGTCTTCTGTCACAGCCTTGTCCAAGAGCAAGATGCCAGCAGGCTTGGTCCCTTCTGAGCGCTGGGAGAGAAGGATCTGGTCCAGGTCCCTCTCCTTGGCCTGCAGACAACTGTCTTCTCCCTATGTCTTCACATTTTTTTCCCCTCCACATATGTCTCTGGGTCCAGATTTCCCCTTTCTGTAAGGACACCAGTCATATTGGATTAGAACCCACCTTAATGACTTCGTTTTAACTTGATTACCTTGGTAAACACCCTATCTCCAAATAAGATCACACTCTGAGATACTTGGGGTTAGGGAACTCATTAAATATATGTATATATATTTATATTTATTATACATAATATATATTATATATATAAATATATATTTATATTATACATAATATATATAAATATATATTTATATATTATGTATTATGTATAATAAGTTATATATAATATATATCATATATATCATATATAATAAATATATAATAAATAAATATACGTTATATATAAATTATATTATATATACAATTTATGTGTGTATAAAATATATATAATTTATATATATACAGAAAAGATATATATATATATACACATAAAACCACATCAACTGAAAGGACCTAAAAGCAATAACATCACTGTAGCAATGAGCACACCTAGCACCCAGATCTTGATTTCTAAATATCATTTCCCCCTAAAAAAAGTCAGGGTTCTTTGAAAAAATAACTGCTTCTGACTCTGGCTCTGGTGTGGGGCAAACACAAGTGAGCCTGGGGAATTGTGCTGTGCCAGAAAGAAAGGAAATACTTAAAGATTAATGAGGTCATGTCAAAAGGACACAGGATCCTGCTTGAAGTGGTTCCCCCTGGCCAAGTGAGGGATAATTTGAACATCAAAAAGAAAATGACAGTAATGGATTATAATCCATTGAAGTTTTTTTTAAAAAAAAGTCCATGAGTCCATAATCATACTAAAAAAAAGGACTTTTAAAAAAAAGAGTTCTGTCTAATAAATGTAGAAGGAGTGAGAGAAAATCACAATATTTCAAGCCCTAATATGACAATTGATTCAGGCAAGGATCGTACAGATGCCAACTACTGAGGAAAAGGTTTTCGGGACAGCAAGAGGTTCATACAACATCAGCATGATATCTCATAAATTATTTATTAATTATATAGGGGGGAGTTACCTTGTTAACGAATTGAATGATTTGGTGGTTACTACTTTAAGTAAGTGATAAGACTTAGTGTCCCCAACAGTGGAACAATCTGACATTATTTGAGACTTTTGGTTATGAGTCCGACCTGGTATGAGGTACGAGTATGGATTATTTTTGTCAAAAAGGATTTCATTTGCATGTAACCATGAGGGACAACTATATAAATTCAGAATGTGGCACATTCTATAGACGTTCGTCTGAGCTCTTCAAAAAGGTCCATGTCATAAAAAAAAAAAAAAAAGAACAACTGAAAAAGAAGTCAGGGGACCATTCTAGATTAAAAGAAACTAATGAAAATACCACATGCAATATGCAACCTTCCCTGGATTCTCATTTTTTTAAAAAAATGCTATAAAAGACATTTGGGGAACAGTTGGGGGATACTTTAGTGGGAAATCTATTAGATAATATTATGAAATGCGTTGCTAATTTTTTCTTAAGTGTGATAATGATGTTTTGTGATTACATTTGAGAATGTCTTTATTCCTAGAAGGCACATGCTGAAGTTATTTGGTTCAGTGCCACAGTATCTGCAAGTTATTTAACGTAGTTCAGGAAAATGTGGTATAGTGGAGTCTGCTCTTACCAGTTCCTAAGAGCAGATAAATATTCAGGAATTTTGCAAGCCATTTGTTAAACCATTGGTTTAAAATTAGCCTACAATGAGCCATGGTGGGAGTTTTTAGATTATAGAAACTGGTGAATACTACCAATAAGGGCTTTCCCCCACCAGAGACCCAGTTTATCAGCACACCCCTGTCCACAGAATCGTGTGTTAATAATGGTGAAATGCCTCAAAGTGTACCTTGTATTCAGAATGGTATGCTTTCCACCTTTGGAAAGGTTTAAAATATTCAAAATAAAAAGTTGAGAAAAACAGAAAAGAAAAAGTCCTTCCTTCCTGGGAATCCTGAAAACCATAGAGGGAAGAATATGGGAGAGAGAGAGAGTGAGACAGAGACAGAGAGAGACAGAGAGAGAGATAGAGACAGAGAGATGAGAGAAACAGAGACAGAGGCACAGAAAGACAGAGAGAGACACAGAGAGAACGATAGAGGAGAGAGACATGGAGACGGAGAGAGAACGTGGAAATCCACCAGCTGAAGCTCTGAGGAGTCCGTGGCTCCAGGGGTGCCGACAGGGAACCTCTGCACTTTCTGCTTCTCCCCAGCGTGTGAGTTCTCTTTCCTGCCTTCCCTCTGGGCCTGGAACCGGGCTGCTGTGTTGATGGCTTGCCTGGGTTTACAGGACCCTATAGGAAGCTCTTAATTCTAATTCCTTGGGACGAAAAGGTCTAAGGCAGCCCATAGTTTGTGTGGTAACTAAGACAACTGTGGGTGGCTCTTGGGACCTCTCTTCATTTTCCTTTCTTTTCCATGT